TATGGTTCATGGGGTCACGAAGAGTCGGACACGACTTAACGACTAAACAACAACAAAAACCCCTTGTCCAATGCAGAAATCAGTTACTATAGTATTACTGATAATTCACCACGTGGCCTCTGTTTAAATACTTCCAAAGAAGGAGAGTTCAGCATCATTGCTGAACAACTCTTACTATTCAGAAATATTTCCTAATGATCAACCAAAATCTGCTGTCTTATTATACCCACTGTTTTTTGTCCTGTCTCCTGGAAGAACTCTAAATAATTCTGTACATTTTCTACATGACACTTCTCCTTTAGAGAATAATGAATCAATTTAGGAGCTCTGTTTTTCCCCATCATTTATTTCTATCCTACTGTTTTCTCTAAGAAACAGGCTCACCCTTTCTTTTTCTTTCTTTTACTAAAGACATAGCCCCAAAAGCCATTTTTGTTGCTTCTAGCTTCTATTGTGAGCCTTAGTTCCTTTTTGCAGATATAAGATACTTGCTGATAAGGTTTCTTGGTGATTATATCCCTTTTTCTATACCTGTTCCTTTTAACATCTTGCTCAATTTGCCTCCTCTCTGTTCTGCCTCTTCCTTCTCCTCAGTTGAATTCCTCTGCCAAATATTTGATATGTAGGATAACCTTAATCTTTCCCAGTGTGAATGTTTTTTTTAATTCAGCACACAGAAATTGTTTTCATCCACATTCTTATCCAAAAATTTAAATAATGTTACTTATATTGAAGTCTAGTGAATCCCTTAACTTTATTTTAAAATAAGTTACTCTTTTAATTGATCTAAATGTATCTTTGTTGAATAATCATTAATTTATTGGACAAATAAAACAGGAGATTTAGGAATTTTAATTTCAAGGTGGAAAACAAATAGGGCATGACCCCTGCAGGTCACAAGAGAAGATGTCTCCATCTCCACATTTCTTTAGAAGTAGCATGTGAGGCTGCTAAAGAATTTATTTAGAGCTGCATTATTACACACAGTTCCTGATTCTGAAGTAAAAGCTGTTCTGTCAAATGGTAGTGGTTGGTGGAATAAGCAAGACAAAGTCATAGATAGAAGGGATATTTATAAGCAGAAGAAAAGGAGCAAGGATAGTCAAAGATTAGAATCAGAATCAGAATACTTTAATGGCCAAGTATAAAATATATACAAGGAATTTATCTTCGGTGAAAAAACAAACAGCAAGAGCAACAGTGCGTTTGGATAACAGCAGAAAGAAGGTATGATAGATTACTCCGTAAGTCCAACAGTAAAGGCAGAACCATGCAATTAAAAGAGCAGGCATAAACATAATGGGGGAAAGTTTCTGCAGCAAGTTTTGACTGGGGACACCAATAATTAGTTTCATATCTTGATTCCTAGATCACAAACAATCACTTATGAAGTGTCACCTTCTTTAATTTTGTATCACAATGTATAGCTCCCACCCCGGCCCTATTTAAACAAGCCTTAAAAGCCTGACTCTTCTCTTGGATTAGAGTGAGTAACAGACTGTTGTGCAGTGTTTCAGTTTATTATATGGTTGTAGATTTCTCCAGATTTTTCTTTTTAGGTTATGTACATGTTTTTATTGTAAATAAACCATTTTGCAAGCCACCTAAAGCTGTGACTGATTGGGGTGCCCTATAAATGTTACAAATAAATAAATGTCAAGGATTTTTTGACACCTCTTTTTCTTTTTGATATTAGAAGCTGTCATATTTAACTATCAGAAATTCTGAAAATATTAAGTATTAAACTAAGAGTAGACCATAAATTATTGCTATATAAGGATCACATTTTGTTTTTATATATGTTTAGTAACTGTTCTATATAGTAATTGTTTTATGTAACTGAATTCTTATTTATTGTTTAATGAGTTGTAAGCCACCCAGAATCCCCTATTAGGGGGAGATGGGTGGGGGATAAATTTAATACACGTACACACACACCAGAAATTCTATTTTAATTTTAAAATGGCATGAGTAGCATCCACTCCACATGCAGCCCCAGCATTTCTACAATTTTGATCCATTTGAGAGGTTGGTGGTAGTTTGGAGGATAGTTGCAGTTCACTTCTCAGAAACTTCCTAAAAAGGCCACCCAAACCATCTCAGGCTAAAGAAGGCTAAAAGGAGGGCTTTGCTACTGGAAGGCTAAACCTGCAAGTTAGCAAAGATGCTACTTCAAACACTTCAGTGAACTAAGACAGGGGTCCCCAACTCTTCAGTTCATCAACCGCCAAACATTTATTATATGAAAACAATTTAATAAATATTACTTTAACTAATAGTACTACAAATAATAGTAATAATATTGACCTTTGGATAGTCCCATCAACCTTAGGGGTCGATACCACTTTGGGGAACCCTGATGTAAGAGTTATTCCCATTACCAAGTTATAGAGCTATCCATATGTTTTTAAATCAGCAGAAAACTGTATCAGGATGAAATCTGCCACCCCGTTACCCTCTGTCTATTACATCTTCCCCAAGTCATTGCAGCAAATACCAGATTTACACATTTTAGGGGTGTCCTTGAATAATATTAGAATAAAGGAGGAAATAATACTACAGTACTGGTACAGCTAATGATGATTTATGCCTGTCTCACAGATAGAGGGACGAGATAAAGCTAAAGTCATGGAAATGAGGTAGAAAAAAATATGTTGGCACTGCATATTTGTACCTTGTTGGGATGTAAGTCTGGACATGACCTAAGTTCTGGCAGTTCAGTTACTCTTTGGTAGGAATTCATCACACAGGGGTAATATTAAAGACTAAAGACATCTCTCTTTTGTTGAGTGGCAAAATATTTTCTGCACTAGCATCCTAGATCTTGTTCTTATTCTCTCGTTGTGAATACAAATACTTTTGTACATTACTGTCTGAATACTGTCAATAAATATTCCAAACATGGAAAGATTTGTAAATAATTTGTAAATTATGGAATCCTTGGTGCTCAGCCTGAGCACTGATGAAGTTACCTAGTCAGGTAATGAAACATCTGCAAACAACCAAGCTCAGAGAATACCAAGGATTCCACAGTTCGACCCTGAGCTACATTTATTCTCTTCTACTGGAATTTGTAAATTGCTCCTCTAAAGCAATTGGGGAAAATAATACACAGCTGAATGCCCTTCACAACTGAAGGAGTACAGACTTTTTGGTTTCAAGGCTGAGGCTTGAGAAACCATAGTATTATAAATCTGTGTTGTTGTGTTATAAAAGGCATCAGAGCTTAGAAATGTTTTTGACACATGTAGCTTATCACACATGTATCAATTAATTTGAAATACTTAGGTTCTAACCTCATTGAAAACTGTAATAAAAATGTCATTTAAACCTATTTATTGGACTTGATTAGATTGCAGATTGGAGGTATGTTAAATGAAATATTCTTTTTTGGGTTTACTGTGCAAAATGCAATTTTAATGCATAATTCATAAAAGCATAATTATTTATAATGCTAGATAAGCTACTTTAAATTAAGCAATCTAATTTTTAAGCCAAAATCTGAACGTGGGCCATTCTCTATTCCAGTTAGTTGGAATTTGGCTGTGGCTTTATTTCATAAAAATTGTTCATGATGCCATAACAGTTTTGGATTATGTTTAGTGTATTTAAGCAGAGGGATATTGAACATGATATCCTAGACTGCAAATGAAATTTAGTATATGATTGAGCTACCTAAGCAGACCTTCTCAATAGCTTTCAAAATGGATAACTGCTCTCTGCTAAATGATTCTCACGTTTCTTCCAACTCCATGATTTTGATATGTATCATACACATTGTATTTTGCAGTGTTTTGCTTGTATTACATGCAATACAAATATACAAGCAAAATACAAAAACAAATTATCTAAACAAAGCTAATGTATTTCTGCAATATAATCCTACCTATATACTAATATATTTATAATGGATTTAATGGATTTTTATTAAGCTTGCATGTAATACAGTATAGCCACCTGGATCTTAATGTTTAGTCAGAAGTCTATGGTATTTCATTCAAGAGAGCTTACATCCAAAGAAAGTTACACTTAACCCTGAGCTACACATATTCTCTTCTGTTGAAAGTTACACTTAAGATTGCTGTAATGCAGTTTAAGATTTTTTTTTACTTCAGTGGTATTTACTTCTCCACAGTTAGAAACCTAGAAGCAAGTAAATTCAAACCAATTAAGTAGGACCTCAATACAAATACACAACAGGAAATTCACTCCACCGAACTCAGTTCCACATAAATCTATGTCGGATTGGGGTATAAATTAAACCAGGTCATTATTATTTCCCATCCACATGAACGATAACATTATTTTTGTAGAGAAGGGCTTTTAAAGAAGACTATGTGATAAACTGCTCCCCACCCTGTGACTGGGGAAGACTCATTTAATCTGGTTTATTCCACTTGTTATTTTTTTTACAATACATTTCACTAGGGTATGTGTGTGTGTGTGTGTGTGTGTGTATTTATATCCTTTTATATAAATATAAATATAAAATATTTATGTATATCTATAGGTGTGTGTGTGTGTGTGTGTGTGTGAAAGGATATAAATATTTTAGATAAAATATGATCGCCAGGTTTGTCGCTGAGTGGAGCCAAGAAACGTGAATTTCACCTGAGCTCTCCACTCCTCTCCTCTCCTCACCTACCGCTAAACGAATTAGTACCTGGCTAGAAAGCGGGGACACGCGGGACTTCGAAAATACCTGCAAAAAAGCTTTTTTGCCCTCTTGGGTAGCTCCGAAGGAGGACGGCTGTGGTCCCCAGAATCCCCTTCTCCTGCTCCCAAGAATAACGACCTTTGCAGAGGGAAACGGTCAGGGCTGCATTAAACTTAACAGGGCAGGGAGGAGGAGACAATCCGGCCTCCCCTCAGCCGCCCTCCGATCAGCGGACTCCCTCCACTGCCTCCCGCCCCGGTTTCCCCAAACCTCATCTTCCCTCAAACGACTTCTCCTAACTGCCTGTCTGCCTGCCCGCTGGCTCCCCTCCGCGACCAGTCTGAGCTTCCCTTGGGCCGCCAAAACCAGCCGTCCTGGGCCGACCTACCTTCTCACCCGCCATCCCCCCTTCCCCGGGGCCGCTGTGGCTGCGGCTGAACCAGCGGCGGCGAGGGAACCTCCGCTCCGTCGCCTCGCCCGAGAAGGAAGAACGCCGCGCGGCCGGAGCGAGGGACGCCCCCGCGCGCCCTTTTCCTCGGCTGCGCCGGAGCGAAGGTCCCTGGGCGCTTGCGCTCGCTTCTTGTCCCAGCGCCTTTCATCGGAAGCGTGGTGTTAAGGGCGATCACAAAGTTCACCGACTTTCCATGTACAGTAGGAGGAGGTAAAAGCAATTTAATCCGGAATCCGTTGATCCCCTTTCTGCAAGGATAAAATGCTTTTAAGTCGGAAAAAGTGCTGCCAGACTCCTAATTTCCGGCCACCATACTCTACCACGGTTGTCCTTCTACAGTGTTTAAATCAGATTGTATATTTTTCCCTTCGTCCACACATCCTACTTTTATGTTTACAAGTAGATGTGTTGCTAGATGCTTGAAATATTTAGAATGCAACCCCCATAGCGCATAAATCCGCATGAAATTACATCAATATGGGAACTTGGAGATCATTAATATGATTTGAAGTTTACAGCAGGCAATGCAGACCACGGGCAAATCTCACCAAATTAATTATTTAATTTACAGCCCCGGTCCTCATAATCCCAAAGTAGTAATTCCTCTTCCATTTCAATTGGTTTGATAATACTGTGATAAAAAAGTTAAAAGTAGTTTTAAGAGTCCTCCCATAATAGCAACTTTGGGATCAAATAGAATTTATGCACTAAATTGAAAAGCAAATCAAAGGCAAATCAGGGTGTCATTCCCAGTTTCTTAGGTCTTCCCAGGCTCTGTTGCAAATTTTAATATTTTTTTCTCTCAACCATTCCTTTTAATCAATTATCTCAATATGTTACATTTTAAGATGAAGTGATGCAGGATTCCATGGGGAGCTAATTTTTTTGAGTGGGTGATGAGAGTTACTAGGGATAGTAGAAAAAAAGTTTGATGAAGGCAAAAAAGGATCAGTAAGCTTTGGGAGAAGGGTGAGGACTCAAAAGCATAAAGCAGGGGAGTGCCTGGAAATAGGGGAAGATGGAATAGATTACTGGTTAGAGAGAGTTCCTGTGATGTCTCCAATCTACATTTATTTATTTTTATTTTATTTATATATCAAATTTGTCACCACCCATCTCATTAAAAAGTGACTCTGGGCAGTGACAAATTATGGTGGCTGTTTAGATGTCATGGGAAACTTCTGCACCAGGGAGTCGAGAGCCATGGAGATGGGCTTAAGGGAAATATTCAGAAGCTGTTACAAAAAAACAAAAAGGGCAGAAGCATTCCTTGAAAAGGAAAAGGAAAAGAAGAGGAGGAGGAGGAGGAGGAGGAGGAAGAGATTCAGGCTGGGTCCTCCCTGGCTCACTGAAGTCTAAGGGAGGGAAAGATATATACAACCAGACCTGCAAGATAGCATTAATAAAGCTGGTTCAGTCTCTTTCCTGATCTGGACAGTCTCCAAGGGTTGACACATAGTGGGATTGCTCAGAGAGGATAGATAACCATTTATTTTTCTTTTGTGTGATGTGACAATAGATGGGGTTTTGTTTCTCCAAGACCAGTGGTAGGATGGATGCTTTGCATCTTCTCTGCTTCAGCTGGAGAAAAAGAGGATGAGGGTATCCTGTTTTATTTTTTATTTTTTTTATTTAAGCATTTATGGAACTGCCCAGCTCAGACAACGTGACTCTGGGCAGTGTACAAAAAGGAAAAAGAGAGAACGTGCATAAATAACCAATTCAAAACAGTATATCTTGTTAAGACTTAGTAAAACAATAAAATTGTGATCAGAACTGAAACCTCCTGTAACCTGTCAAATTGTGAGCTGTACTCATAGTGATCTCAAAGCCCAGGGAGGGGGCCAGCTCTTAACTGCCTTTCTAAGGGCTTGCAGGCTGGGGCCAACTGTAGTTTTGGGGCAAGGTGTTGTTTTCTGCATTTCAAGATTGGCAGAAGTAAAGACAGGGTTAGTTTCAAACGGCTTTGTTTTCAGGGGGACTGAAAATGCTGAAGGTACAGAAGTGCCTACTGCCAGCCCAGTCTGGCCTAGTCCACAAACCTGAGTTGATGACCCAGGAAGTGAATGCTGGTCAATTATATCGGGAGCAGGTATTTTACCATCACAGCCACCTTTATGGTGGCAGTCTGTATGTTCCTTTAAAAACATTTTGGTACAGATAAATATTTTTTAAATGAGATGGCCCATTTTGGATCAGAGCCATTTCAAATGGGGCCAGATCATCTCTTTTTGCCCCTATATCTCCAAGGGGAAAAAGAAAATTGGGGCTAGATTCTCCTCATAGTGAACAGGGTTGTGCAAACCAAATGAGAAGATTAAGATTAACCTAACCTTGACATTTGAAACAAAAATTTCTAAAGCAGGTCTGTACAACTTGAAGAGGGAAAAGTTCCACACTGATACATTAAAAATAATCGAGGGCAGCAAAGGAATGGTTTTGAGGAAAATGGAAGCTTATTACTAGAAAAATGAAGAATATGACACAAATAGTGTCAAAAGTACAAAAGTACAAAAAACACGAATAAATCAATATGATATATTGCATCTTTTTTCAGCAGCAACTTTTGTATATTGTGGGCTCAATATTGTTGATATTCTTAAAAAGACTTGCAAATGTTCATTAGTGATGAAAGAACAATGGTTGTTTTTATTTACGTTCATGATTGAAAATGTTTGTTCGCATATAAATGTGCTTTCAAAAAGTTTTATGAGCAGCTTTGATCAGTTTTTTAAATTTTTTCTTCTCTAAACATTTGTAAAAGTCAGTCAAACTACTTTTCTGAAATTTAGATTTATAAGTTCCTGAACATTGCAATTCAATTATTTCCATTTGGAAATCTAGTGGTATTTCTTCTGGATTTACAGAAAATGGTTTTTTAGTCATATTTAATTGAATCTCTTCTTCATTGGTCAAAGCAAACTTTTTGTTGAAGACTAACATGCTCTCCATATTTTTTTTAGCTCAGTATTGCTTGCATTGAGGAATATGCTGAGCACAAGTAGGAAAGTAACCCAGTTCCTCTTTCTTGAGTTTATTTATTTATTTATTAATCAAATTTATATAGCCACCCATCTCATGAGAAATGGCTCTGGACAGCGTACAATAATCAAATAAAAGCAATACATAT